CGGTGATTATGCCTGCAAAGTGTGTCTCCAGCGTCTCTCCAAGATTTCACTATAGGAGGGTCGCTTTCTGCTTCCTACCTCTAGCCGCCATCTGGGGGGCAGTGTTTTTTTTTTTTTTTTAAGAACACTCACAAGGTTATGCCACCATTACTACTACCAATTCTAGAACATTTTAGTCACCCCCAGAAGAAACCTTGTACACACCCATTCCTCTTTCCCTCAGTCTAGGCAACCACTAATCTACTTTCTATCTCTAGACCTGCCTGATCTGAACATCTTATATAAATAAAGTAATACAGTATGTCACCTTTTTTGTCTGACTTCTTCCTCTTAGCATAGTTTTCAAAATTCTACCATGTTGTGGCATGTGTCAGTATTTCACTCTTTTTTTTTTTTTTTTTTTTATGTCTGAATACTCTTCCATTGTATGGTTAAAGTGAATTTTGTCTGTTCATTAGTTGATGAACATTTGGGTTTTTTTCACTTTTTGGCTACAAATACTCATTTAAAAGTTTTTATGTGGGCATATTGCTTTTACTTCTCTTGAGAATGTACCTAGGAGTGGAATTGCTGGATTATAAGGTAATTTTTTGTTTCACTCTTTTGCAGTACTACCAGATTGTTTTTCCCAGCAGTGGCATCTTTTTATCTTCCCAACAGCAGCATATGACACTTCTGTTTTTTGAATCTCCTTCTGCAAACTGATTTTGTTTTTCCTATAGGTCAGGTTTTTTTGTTTGTTTGTTTCTATGTCTAGTGATTTTTGAGTGGATAATGGATATTATGATTTTATGCTGATGAGTGTCTGAAGTTTGAGGACTTTGTTTTTGTTAGTGTTGGGCTTTAGTTTGGCATATAGTTGTTTGCAGATGAGCATGAAACTTTGAGACCCCCCATACCTAAGCTCTGCTAGGTCCACCTTCATTCTAGGGGCTTTGCTAAATAAAATATTTTACTAAATGAGACTTGATCCCTCTATTCACTCTCAATAACTCAGCAGTCTTCAAGAACTCTTTATTTTGGTTGTGCAGAGTTAGGTTGTTTTTCTACCTTGTCTGAGCTGCATAAATTGTTAATCTTACATATCCATGTCAGTGTCTCGCTTTCTTTTTCCTTCTTTTTTTTCTATGTGAAAATTCACTTTCCCATACCTGGTCTAGTTCTCTGCAAAGACTAAAGGGAACCTCTTTGAAGATTTTTGCAGCTTTTTTTCATTGTTCCCTTCAAGCTGACGTAACCTTCCTAAACTGCTGTCTGACTTTTTACACCAGCAAATCTACTGAGTTCTGTTTTCCCTTACTGTGTCCATGATGTAGAAATCATCTTCAGGTAGATAATGCAAGTGATTATTATACTTATATTGTTTTCTTCTCTCTTTCCTTTCTCCTTCCTCCTCTCCTCCTTTCTCTCTCCCCTCCACTTCTCTGTTGTCTAAAAACAGTTGTTTTATGTATTTTAACCAGTTTTCTACTTGTGTATAAAGCGGAAAGTAATACCTGTTTCTTGGTATGCCTTCGTGACTGAAAGCCTACTACTTTCTTTGTTTTTTTTAAAGCTGTAAATACTAATTGTTTTACTTGGTCTTATGTGCCCTAAAGAAAGATATCTGACCATCTTTATCTCTGGCACATAGGAGGAATTAAGTATTTGTTAATGATGCTCTTTGATTAGGAAATGAAGTAATATTTTCTTACGGTAAACGCTTATATTTCATACTTTTATCATACTCTGAACTAAAAAAATATGTGTAGACAGTTGAGATTTGCTTTCAAGGACTTCTTACTAGAATTCAAGTAATCATCATTGTGAAAGAGTCCCATGCCATGACAAGAAAGTACTATAATTTTATTTGCCTGGAAATTCCTCTTCTTATGATAGCATTCAGCCACATCTAGGTTATTAGAGCTGTAGTTATCCAGTGTATAGTATTATGTAGACATCTTTTTCTGCCTTCTCTCTTTTTATTCCCTGCTTTATAGTTCATTGACTTTATTTCTGCTTACAACTTTCTTAGGGGCCTGACAGAGGGGGAGAATGGAGCAGGGAGAGTAAGCATACATGCAAATGAAACTTGAGCTTTTGATTCAGTTTCAGTAACGTTTAGAGGTTGCCAAAAGTAATGTCAAAATCTAGTTTGGGATTTCCATGGCTACTGGGAATAGATTTTTTTTCTCTTTTGGTACCTGTTAGGAAGATGTGTCATTGTCACTGATGGCAAAGTATTGATAGCACAGTACACTAGAACTTTGAATAATGTTATTGATCTGTTATAGTTGGAAAATGAATGTGTCAGGGGAGAAAGGATAATGGGGGAAATAAGGTGATACTCTTTGTTGCCAGGAATCACTGGGTTTTATACTAATTAACCTTGAAAAATGTGGATCTATTTGACAGACCAGATGTTTTCAGCATAGGCCATGTGTCTCATCAGTGCATGTGCCTGTGTCTGCAGGCAACATTGTTAAATTTTTCTCATTCTATAAACACTTCCAAAATATAACTAAACCCCAAAACGTGTTTATCTTTTTGGTTTAATTTCTGTCTTTCTATCCATTCTAAAGTTTCTCTCCAGAGGAATTGAATTTTATTACACATAGCTCTTCATACCTAATTGTAGTATAAACACCATTCTGTTTACACTAAACCATGTGAAGTATACTGTTTTTGAGTCTGTAAAATTTTAATAAAAACATCTATTTTAGATTTAACTATATTCTTCCTTTTATTTCTAAATTCAGGAATAAACCATTCTTCTCTCCATTTATTTGGACTTAGGTTTTGATTTTTGGAACACACAAGGGAAGACATAAAAAGAAATGACAAACCGGTCTCTAGGCTGCAGTGTTTGTTGTACTAAGTGTATTGGAGCAAGAAGACCTTAAGTATCTGCTGTGAAAATTATTCTTTAAGTCCACAATAGACTATTAGTCTGTCTTATTTACAGGGACGGTACTGAGTTTTTCCTATACTGGATATATCATGGGAAATGTGGAAATGAGAGTATTAAAAGCATGAAAAAGAAAATTATCACTCATAATAGCTAAAGAAAAAAAATCATGTTTAACACTTTTGTATGTATTTTTCTAGTCATTTCATCTGTGTTTTTGTGTGTGTATAGTGTATATATGTATTCAGTGATAATCATATACATATTCATAATTTATGCACATATACATATATTTATAATTTAAAAATGTTAAATGTTATGATGATACTTGAAAGATTTTGTTTTTAATTGGTGCACCATTCCTGGAGATAACTGGGTTGATGGGTGGAGTAGATGGAGGATTCCATTTCTCTACTCCAAGAATCTATTTGATGCATTGTCCTTACGTTAAGAATGTGTCAGATGTGAAACCAGTAAGAGCAGATACTATCCTTGATCTGAGACAAAAGGTTGAGAAGTGATAGGCCTATTTTAAAAATTATTTTCATTCAACAAATATTATAGACATTTTGCTATTTCATTAGTTTTTCATTTGTTTTTTGAGACAGGGTCTTGTTATGTAGCCTTCTCAATCCTCTTGTCTTAATTTTTTGAGGGCTGGGATTGTAAGTGTGAACTACCATGCCCAGCTCATTAGTCTTTTATACATGGATACATCATAATGTGTTTAGCCAGTCCTTGTTATTAGGCGTCCAGGTTAGTTTGTTTTATGTGCCAATAAAAATAAATATAATTCAAGAAGCTTATATATATTTTTGTACATCTTTTTTTAGAAATGCAAATTATTTAGAATAGTTGCTTTTGCTAAAATTTTTCATTAGAAACTTGTTTGCAATTCCTGTTTATTGAAACTATTGATAGTAATACATGTTATCTTTTCTCTTTCTTTTGGCAATACTGGGGTTTGAACTCAGTGTTTGTGAGGCAGGCACTCTACCACTTGAGCCCTGTCTTCAGCTCATCTTATTTTTTAAGAAATCTTTGGCAGTTTGAGTCATAAAAATTTTTTTTGTCTCTACTTTATTATTTTTTATCATATGTGCAAACGTTGTTTGGGTCATTTTTCCCCCCTGGCCCCACCCCCCCCAAAGTTTCTTTTTTTTTAATTTACATTTTTTCACATAATGAAGTAAACTTTTTCTTTTTTTTTCATATGTTGGCCTTATTTTTTTATGTGCATTTTCTATCCCTCCTTCTCTCCCTCCCTTTTCCCTCCCTCCTTCCCTTCCCTTTTTTTTTTTTTTCTTTTGTGCTGAAGAATGAACCCAGGACTTTGTGCTTCCTCAGCAGGTGCTATACCACTGAGCTACATTCCTAGCCCCAGTGTTTTCTTATTTTTTTTTAAAGAACATAAGTTTATTGATCTTTCACATATACATTACATATGTTTATGAGTTTGTTATTTCCTCTTTATTCTTTTGTTTTTTTTTTGCAGTACTGGGATTTGAACTTGGCCTCACTCTTGCTAGGCAAGCACTTTACCAGCCACTTCACCAGCCCTTTTTGTGTTGGGTGTTTTCAAGATAGACTGGCTTTGAACCACGACCCTCCTGATCTCTGCCTTCTGAGTAGTTAGGATTATAGGTGTGAGCCACTTGTGCTTGGCTTTAAAATTTTTATATCTCATATTAAACAGCCATTTTAGTTATTTTATAACTACTTTTTCTATCTTTTACTTTGAACCTGTTTGTACCTTTGAATCTAAAGTGTGTATCTTGTAAACAGAATATCATTGGATTATGCTTTTTAAAATCTTGACTAAGAATGTTTACCTTTAATTAGCGTATGTAGTCTATTCACTTAGTGTCACTATTGGTATGGGTGGATTTTGCTCTTGTTTTCTCTAGTTTTCCATGTATTGTGTTTCTTGTTCCTCCTTTACTGTCTTCCTTTGAATTAAAAATATTTTGTAGTTTACTCTTTTAATTCTTTCCTTGATTTTTTATGGTATATTTTTTGAGTTACTTTCTTAGAGGTTATTATAGGGTTGTACAATGCATCTTCACTTATCACAGTTTACTTTAGGTCATTGCTGATACAAATTTGGTTTTATAGTAGTAGTTTTGTTTAAACAAAACTTCCTTCTTCTTTTTTGTTACTATTGTCATATATATCCATATTTTTAAAAAACCCATCAGTACAGTATTGTGACAATTGCTTTAAAAATCTCATTTTTCAAAGAAATTAAGGAGAGAGAAAAATTTTAATTTTATCTCTTATATTTAGGATATATATTTCTTACGCTCCTCATTTTTTTCCCTGTTAATTCAAGTCTCTGTTTGGTACCATTTCCTTTCAGGCTTCCTTTAGTGTTTTTGGTAAGACAGGTCTGTTAGCAAGGAATTCTCTGTTTTTGTTATCCAGGAACACATTTTTCCTAAATTTTCATTTTTAAAGGATAGTCATTAACTATTGATTGGTCAGACATTATGCTCAAACAATCTTGAGTCAATAAGGTTTCCCCTTTTTTGCCAGTGGATTTGTAGGGGGCTTAGGTTGTGCATTAAGAATTCTGGCAGTTTCGAAGTCTGGGATTATTTGGTGTGTGCCACCAAGAAAAAGTTTTCCTTTCTCCCAGACCTTCTTAAGTATCATCTGTGTATGCCTGTGGCCTTACAGTCAGTTAAGGTTGTGTAGAGTGCTTAGGCCCTTTTTGTTGGCCATTACATGTATGCATAGTCTTTTAGTGAGTCAAGGATGTGTGGAGAGCTATTTTTATTTTTATTTATTTATTTTTACTGAGTTTGCTACTTTTACTAACAATGCCACTTGATAGGGCCTTCCTTCCTGCCTTCCTTCCCTCCTCCTTCCTTCTCTCCCTTTGTTCCCTCCCTCCTGTTTCCTGCCCCCTTGCTCTTTCCCTTCCTTCCTTTTTCTCTGCTCCAAATTATGTCCTTCCCAATGTCTTTGAAACTGGTGATTTTCATGACTAGCCATGACCACCGACTAGGGGCAGTGATGGAAGTAGCTGTAGGCAAGAATACTACATAGTCCCACTGTTGAGCAGTTTTCATGAATAAACATTTCTTCTTTGTTATTTTCCTTTGGTCAGTTTCCAGAGTCCTGAAACAGTTGTTTTGGATAGCTTTGCCCAATTTTAATTTGTTCCCCACCACCACACACCCCTTTTAAAGACAATTTTCCAGACTCTTCCCTCTGCCACAGTTGTTGAAGTCTAGTTTTGGGTACTTCAGTTTATAGGATGATTTTTTCTGGACATTGAGACATTCTTTTTTTTTTTTTTTTTTAAGGTAGTTAATTTCATTGGTAGATAGTATTCTAAGTTTTAAGCATTCTTAGTATGAAATCTTTTGATTATATTTTACTAGTCTTTTAAAGCATGTATTACTTTTTAATAATTTGAGATTTTTCATTCATTATTTTATGAAAAAGCAATACTAAATATGTCTTAATGTACAGTGAAAACTAATTGAGGCTAGAATTTTTTTCCTGTGGCATATATTTGTGGCCCTAAGAAAGACTGAGTTTAGCTAAAGGTAACCAATTTGTTTTGTAGGCATTATCCAGCACTGAAAACTCTGGAACATCTTGAACATACCTATCTGCCTCAAGTAAGCCACTATCGATTCTGCAAGGTGATGCTGGACAACATCCCCAAGCTTCGAGAAGAAATAAAGGATGTTTCTATGTCTGATCTCAAAGACTTTCTGGAGAGCATCCGCAAGCATTCGGACAAAATTGGAGAGACTGCCATGAAGCAAGTAGGTCTTGGGTTTATGATAGGTTGGCCAGTGGCTTTGCAAGTATTCATTTAAATGCAGACTTCTTGTCAAGTGACTTAATTGTTTCTTATTGCTTTAGGGAAGTCCTTCATCTTTATAGGAACACATCATTTAAAAATCCTTTTTTATTATCTTAACAGAGTACTGAACTATTAACTAGTGTATTGTTTTGCTTGGGATGTTCAATAAATACTGACCCATTATGATATGGGAGGTTGGAGGAAGCTTAACTTTGTTTTTTTTAGTGGTATTGGGGCTTGAATTTAGGGTCTCATGTTTGCTAGGCAGGCACTCTACCACTTGAACCACTCCTTTAGCCCAACTTTTGTTTTAAAACAAATATATATGTAATAAAACATATACATGTATGTATATATGTTTACACCAAATATATATCTTAAACTATATATTTGATATAGATATTATAAAAAGATATACATGTGTGTATATATTGCATACCTTTGTTGGGTATAGTAATATCTGTAAGACAAGTGTTTACTATGCTTGACTAATTTTTACTAAGCTTTCAAAATCTAAGAGAAGATAGTATGGAATTTCTGTTGACACTACCTTTTTTGGGGGTGGATGGGTTGACATGAGGTCTCATTGTATAGCCCAGGGTGGCTTCAAATTCACTATCATCTTGCTTTGGCCTTCTGAGTGCTGGGATTGTAAGTGTGTACCACAATGTCTGCTGGAAACTGCTTTTTATTTATTTTTTTTATGGTTGTCTTTCCTAGGCCTCTATTTGAGAAACTTTAACTATTTCCCTTTTGATGAAAGAGGAATCCAATAAGCATATTATTGCCTCATTTAATCTGAGATTACATGTTCTCATTCCTTAATTAGCTGAAGAAATGAATGCCCAGGGAAGGGAAGAGACTTGTTTAAGTTCAAACAACTTGTAAAGGTCAGATCCTCTAAAGTTGAAATGAATGTGTCTACTATAGTACACAATCTGTGTAAATTACTGGTTATTTGTTATATTCTTGCCATGTAAGGAAATTGTAAAGGAATATTCTGTGAACTGAGGACTTTTAGTTAACTGATAAGTCTTCATTCCTCCTTTAAAAGTTTTCATCTCAGGACTAACTCTGTTGCATGAATTATTACCCTAAGATCCTTTAATAAAGATATCTTACATGTTTTAAAATCTTTGGTAGTACCTAGAAAGTAAGGATGATAAGAGAAATTACCACATACTTTATATATGGTAGATGTTTAATAAATACTTATTTTAATTCATAGATGTTGGAAAAGAGTTTAGTTCTCATTTATGCAAAGTCTAAAATGATGTTTCTGATTAGTGTTTTTTTTTCACAATGACAATTTAGGTACTTAGAATCCTTCCAGTGTGTGGTTATGCCATCTTTATGCCTTTGAAGATTGCAGTAGAAGTGGAGTATTGCATGTGGGAGAGTTTATAAGGGGCAGGCATGTATGCCACACATTACTCGTACCTATATTTCAGTTGCCCAAATTCAATTTCAGTTGCCTATTTCATAGGTAGTTACATGGCCATACCCACATATGAAGATAGCTGGGAAATGTAATCTTACTCTGTCCCTAAAATGAGGTACATACATCTTTGGGGAATAGTCTCTGGCATCCTTTGGTTATTAACTGTCTTTTCATACTCCTTCCCGTACATAGAACACAGTGTCTTCCTCCTTAAAGGAGAGAGCCTAGGGGACTGACTTGTCTGGACGTCCATCTCAAAGGGTAGATCCTCCAGGGATGCTCAGTTCTCTTCATCAGATCTAGATTTGGCTCTACATGGGCTGGTGACCAAGTAGATAAAAGTACAAGTCATCTGCACTTGTGCCTCCTCCCACTCCCAATATTCAGTGAAGAAGCTAGAGTAGAATAACTACAATAAAAACTTTGGTTTAGAAAAGAGAAGAAAAAGAGACATATTATTTCTTGCTCCATAGCAAATCATGTAATCATTTTCTTTTGTTTACTTCCCGTTCCCTGCCCTCTCCTCCCATCCCCTTTCCTCCTTCCCTTCCCTCCCTTCTCCCCCTAAGTACTAAGTTTGGTTTTGGTATTGGGGTTTGAACTCAGGGCCTTCATGCTTGCTAGGCAGGTGCTCTACCACATGAGCCATGCTCCCAGCCCTTAGTCAGTGATCTGTTTTTTTCCAATGGGTTCTATATGGACAATGAAACCAATGTTCTTTTCAGAAATGGTTTTGTTTTCTTCTGGCCTATTTGGGGAAGTAGTAAAGTGTGGCAGCATAACCCTTACCCATTAGGTTGCTTCTTAGTTTAATGACCTTGCTTTGTGGCTGTATGAAACATTGTGTGGAATATCATACTTGAGTCTGATCTCTTCCTCAGGATTGAGTCATTTTGTTCAGCTAGATAGCTTCCTGGGTCTTTATTGCTCAATCCTTTACTATCCTTTTCTTTTACTTTTTGGATGTGTTCAGTTTTCTAACCCTTAGGTTAGAGGCCTAGGTTTCTTGAATTCTATTCCCTATATCTTCAGTCTGCAAATCAATGAATTCTTTTTCAGTTTATCTTTTTTTTTTTTTTTGTGGTACTGGGGTCGAACTCAGGACCTCACTCTTGCTAGGCAGGTGCTCTACCACTTGAGTCACTCTCCCAGTCCTCAGTTTATCTTTTTTATTAATAACTTACTCAAAGCAGAAGGTTAATACCAGTGTATTCTATAACTGTGACTCTTAATTTGTTCATAGCACTCCGGGCCCAGTATACTACTTATTTATTTTCTTTTGGCAGTACTAAGGTTTAAACTCAGGGCTTTACACTTACTAGGTAGGTAGGTACTCTACTACTGCTTGAGCCACACCTCCACCTGTTTTCACTCTGGTTATTTTGGAGATAGGGTGCTTATTTTTTGCCTAGGCCAGCCTGGACTATGATCCTATTATTTTTCACTTTCTGTTGTAACTGGGATAACAGGATGTGCCACCAAATGGAGCTGAGATGGAGTCTTAGAAACTTTTTTGTTTTTAACCTAGGCTAGCCTGGAACTGTGTGTGATCTTCTTGATCTCAGCCTCTCACTAGCTTGGTATGATAGGTATGCACTATTGTGCCCAGCTATTTAGTTGAGACGGGCTCTCTTTAACTGTTTTCCTGGGATGACCTTGAACCACAGTCCTTCTGATCTTAGCTTCCATGTAGCTAGGATTATAGGTGTGAGCTACTGGTCCAGCTCCTGTAGGCATTTTGTGTATGTTTTCACTTACTATAGGCTCTTAGTTTTACCAGTTGTTTTTTCCACATTATTATAGGGCTCTCCAGCTTTTCAGCTTGTCTGGTATATATTCTTTCTTACCTACTGCTTGACCATTAAACCAACAGCATTTATTTTATTTTCATTGTTGATGTGTAACACCACATTTCCATAACCAGTTTCTGAGTTTGTTAGCTAATTCTGCTTGCTGTAATAGTTAAATTCCAAAATATTATAGTAGTAGTTTTAATTTTCACTTTGTAAAGGCCAAAACAGATATTCCTGGTGGGATAGCTCTCCAAGTGATCATCTGGGGATATAGAACTCTTCTAACTTGTGACTCTACCATTTCAATTTATAGCTTCCAGGGCTGCAGCAGAAGAAAAAGAGAGTAAATCATGTAATGAATTCTTTATGGGCCAAATTTTTAAATGACACATATCACTTCTGCCAAATTTACTTTGAAGGGAGGCTTGGATATAGACTCCAGTGGTCTGACCAGGAGGAAGAGGAAAACAGTTTGGTGAACAGTTAGCTAGTCTCTGACATACCTGCTATCATTTAGCCCAGAAAGATAAATATCTTCCATGTCTCTTGCTTTTTTCTGTGTAGTTGTCTGCGTGTTTGCTTCTTATTTACCAACTCTGTAGCAGTGTCAGTGCTGCTGTTTAGATCTTTATTATTTTTATTTCAACAGTTATGGTTTTTTGACTTTGAGAATTTGTTTTTACTTTTTTGTTGCCCTTATAATAACTTCCTTTTAAAATCATTTCATTAGAATATTTGGGAAATAAGATTTGAAGGTATTAATATTGTTGCTGCATTTAGACTTTAAATGGCTGCCTTTTCTTGGTAAACATCCCTTTTTCTTTTTAACTGTCTCCTGAGTTGCTGCAGTGATTCATGGGAGACATTGTCCTTAGTAGAGTGAATTGACAGAGCCAGGTTGCTAGATTGCTTCTCTTGTGATATACCAGCCAAAACAGATCACCAGGACTTTACCCTAATAAAGTACTAGTAAATAAGTTAGATTCCATACATTTATTCGAGATTATAATCTCAAACTGTTTGTTGTCCAATTTCGTCAAATGATAAAATAAAAGAAATACTATTTGAAGATGAACTGAAAGATATATGTAGTAGGCAGAATTCTAAGATGGTCCCCAAGGTTCCTGCTGTCTGGTGTATACATTTTGTAAAATCTCTTTGCCTTGAGTGGGTGGGCTTGATATAATCAGGTGAGTTTCTTTAAAAGGTCCAGAGGCAAGAGATAGAAAAAGAGAGTCAAAGTTGAAACAAATCATATGTTCTGTTGTTTTTCTTGAAGAAACAAACTTCCATGTTTTGGACAGGGCCATGTGGCAGGAAACTGTAGGCAGTCATGAGTTGCTGAGAGCAACCCTTGGCTGACAGCCAACAAGAAAATGGGATCTCAGTCTTACAACCATAGGCAACTATGCAACAAATTGAAAAGGCTTAGAAGAGGGTCCTAAGCTCCAGATGAGATCACTGGCCTGATTGACACCATGATTTCAGCCTGGTGAGACCCTGAGCAAAGGACCCAGTCATGCTGAACTATTGACCCATGGAAACTTTGAGGTAAGTGTATGTAGTTTTAAGCTAGTTACATAGCAAAAGAAAAGTAATACATTCCATTATTTTGGCTTCATAGACTTTTTACTAAATTCTGTGTTTATATTTTGCCTTTGGATCGAGGAAACAATGATAAGGATTGTATTCATTTTTATTTTTTTGAAATAGGAGTTTACTAAC